TCCGTTAGGTCCATCTGTTCTAATATGTTGTTCAGTGCCTCTGTCTCCTTATTTTCTGTCTGGTTGATCTGTCCTTTGGAGTGAGTGGTGTGTTGAAGTCTCCTGAAATGAATGCATTTGCATTCTATTTCCCCCTTTAATTCTGTTAGTATTTGTTTCACATATGTAGTTGATTCTGTGTTGGGTGCATGGATATTTATAATACTTATATCCTCTTGCTGGACTGACCCCTTTATCATTATGTAATATCCTCTTTTGTCTCTTGTTACTTTCTTTGTTTTGAAGTCTATTTTGTCTGATACAAGTACTGCAACTCTGCTTTTTTTCTCCCTATTAGTTGCATGAAATATCCTTTTCCATCCCTTTACTTTCAGTCTGTGTATGTCTTTGGGTTTGAAGTGAGTCTCTTGTAGGCAGCATATAGATGGGGCTTATTTTTTTTTATACATTCAATGCCTCTATGTCTTTTGATTGGTGCATTCAGACCACTTACATTTAGGGTCATTATTGATAGGTATGTACTTATTGCCATTGCAGGCTTTAGATTTGTGGTTACCAAAGGTTCAAGGGTAATTCCGTTACTATGTAAAACTCTAATTCAACTCACTTGGTATGCTATTAAAAACACAACCTAAAGGTTCTTTTCTTCTTCATCGTTTTCCTTCCTCCTCCATTCTTTATATAGTAGGTATCATATTCTCTACTCTGTCTAATCCCTTGATTGACCTTTGGAGTAGTTGATTTGATTTTGTTTCTGCTTAACAATTAATTGCTCTACTTTCTTTACTGTGGTTTTATTTTGCCTGGTGACAGCTATTTAGCTGTGGGAATACTTCCATCTATAGGAGTCCCTCCAAAATACACTGTAGGGGTGGTTTGTGGGAGGTAAATTATCTCAGCTTTTGCTTATCTGAAAACTGTTTAATCCCTCCTTCAAATTTAAATGATAACCTTGCCAGGTAGAGTATTCTTGGTTTGAGGCCCTTCTGCTTCATTGCATTAAATATATCATGCCACTCCCTTCTGGCCTGTAAGGTTTCTGCTGAGATAGCCTGATGATAACCTGATGGGTTTTCCTTTGTATGTGATCTTATTTCTCTCTCTGGCTGCTTTTAAAAGTCTGTCCTTATCCTTCATCTTTGCCATTTAATTATTATATGTCTTGGTGTTGTCCTCCTTGGGTCCTTTGTGTTGGGAGATCTGTGCACCTCCATGGCCAGAGACAGTATCTCTTTGCCCAGATTGGGGAAGTTTTCAGCAATTACCTCCTCAAAGACACTTTCTATCCCTTTTTCTCTCTCTTCTTCTTCTGGTACCCCTATAATGCGAATATTGTTTTGTTTGGATTGGTCACACTTTTTTCAATATTCTTTCATTCCTAGAAGATACTTTTTTCTCTCTGTGTCTCAGGTTCTTTGTATTACTCTTCTCTAATTTCTATTCCATTTACCGTCTCTTCTACTAAATCTAATCTGCTTTTAAATTCCTCCATTGTATGTTTCATTTCAAAATTGGAATTTCTTGATGATTGAATCTCCATCCTAAATTCGTCCCTGAGTTCTTGAATATTTTTCTGTGCCTCCATGAACATGTTTGTGATTTTTATTTTGAACTCTCTTTCAGGAAGATTGGTGAGTTCCATTTCACTTGGGTCTTTTTCTGGTGTTTGTGAGATTTTTTTCTGAACCAGGTTCCTTTGACATTTCATATTTGTATGTAGTGCCCTCTAGTGCCCAGAAGCTCTAGTCTCTGGAACTGCTCCACCACTGGAGTGATGTCGGGGGTCACAGGGGAGCAGCACTGGTGCCTGGGAGGAGGAAAGAGCTGTTTCCTGCTTCCCTGGCTGCAGTGCCTGTCTCCACTGTCAGTACCAGTGGGCTGAACACACAGGTGTAAGCCTCTGTGCTTTGCATTTTTAGATGCTATAGTGGGGCTTCCCTCTGGCTGGCCTGAAGCCAGGGCAAGGTTTGCTGGTTTGTGAGTCAGGTCTGGCTGGCCAGGAGGAAGTTGCAGCAGGCTGTGTATCATGGTGGGGGGCCTTGAAGCCACATAACCAATCAGGGGGATGGAGCACCTGAAGATCATGAAAGTTCCAAACCTGCTGGGCAGAGTGCATCCAGACAATTTTTTCTACCTTTCCTTTCTCCTGAGCAGTAAGCTCTGTGCAATCTTTGCTCCTTTAGTATCCCTCTCACTTTTACAAAGTCTCTCAGACTGCCTACCCAGATCAGCCAGATATGGATCCCTGTTTTCCACAAGCAGCTGGAATCTCAGTCTCTCCAAGTATTCTGCCTGTCTTAGCATTCCAACCCCAGTAATCTCCAGAGCACGATGCAGTGTAGGTTTGTGCTCCCAAAGCAGATTCCAGGGCTGGGTGTTCAGCAGTCCTAGGCTTCCACACCCTCTCTGTTCTGTTTCTCTTTCTCTGGCCTATGAGTTTGAGTGGGGGAAGGGCTTGGGTCCCGCCGGATCAAGGCTTTGGTACGTTACCCTGTTTCATGAGGTCTGCTCTTTTTTCCAGATGTATGCTGTCTGGTGCAGCCCTCTTTCCTGTTGCTCTTTTAGGATTAGTTGTATTAACTGTATTTTCATATATGTGGTTTTGGGAGGAGTTCTCTGTCTCACCTCTCATGCCACCATCTTTAATCTGCCATCCTGTATTTTATCTGGCAACCCTAATGGCAATAACTCTTGAAGTGGGGTCCACCAGCCCCTGTAATCAGAATCACCTTAGCCCAATTATGAAATGACCATTTCTGGACCTCTCCTCAGATGTTCCAAATCAGAACCTCTAGGTGAAGAGCAGGGTAAACCTGCATGTTTACCAAACATTCCAGCTGATTCTTATGCTTCCCAATGTTTGGGAACCATCTTTCAACTCTGTGGCTGGAAAAACGTTTTCTAAAGACCAGGGTGTTGTTCTGGAATCCTTCCCCCCTATAGAAATTTGTTTTAAAGACTGAAGGTAGAGCTTCCATGTCCCTCAGCTGGGAGCTTTTTGTAATATCTGTTTTTAAAAAATAATAATTTTGCAAGAAAATCAAAAAGCAAGGAACCACAGTGAAGAGTCCATAACATTTTTATAGCATAAAAACTTCCTTCAGTCTTTAAAATTGATCCCTAGAGCATGGGAGGCTTCAAGACCCACACCCTCATCTTTGAAGTCCTTCTCTACACTCAAGAAGCTGGAGGATGGTCCTCAAACACTGGGAGCATTGGAATCACCTGGAGTGTTTGGCAGACACTCTGCTTTATGAATGGGCTGCAAAAATGAGACAGCTAAGTCAGAGGTTGACACACTGAGAGCAGCTGGGGACCATGGTGGCTCTGCTCCCATGTGGAGGTTACCTGCCCAAAGCTCGGTCATTAACCTTGGGTGGGATCCCATAGGTCCTCCCTGTTCCAATGACCCCATCATTGATCAACCTTTAGACTCACCTATGTGCTGCAGATGTGGCCTGAAGCCTTGGCGAACATAATTACTACCAATGTGTGAACCTCAGTCATTAAGATAAATACTCTAGAATTGGCCACTTACCAAAACTCTTATACATCTAGCCCCTCTTGGGTTTATAAAACTTAACTGCCAAATGTAAAAGGAATAGCCTTCTTGGGAGAAATTTGTTACTCCTTGATTTGTCTAGCAGAATTGCCAAGAGACCAATGCTCAGAGCATTTTGAGTTTTGGGCTTTTAATCCTGTGTACCTCCTGATGCCAAAGTGCCCATAAATCTAGAGGGTAAGTGAGGTGCAAAGAGCAGATAGGGACCCTGGAGGGGCAGAAGATGGCCTGCTTCCTTCCAAACCAGCAACATTATTAATCTGAGTAAACTGGCTCATCTTTCCATTCCATCTCACGTCCTCAAAATGTAAGAAAAATTCACCTAAAAAAACCGGAATGGGTCACAAGCTCCAATCCTACTGGGGCCAGAGAGCTCACATTGAAGCATCCAGGAACAAATCAGTGGGAGGGGTAAGCCCCCCATAAAGGCCACAATCCCCCAGCTCAGGGCACCCTAGAATGCCCATGAGCATTGGCTTCTCATACATTTTTCACAAAAAAATGCACATTTTTATATGAAATCATGTGATTTTTTAAATGTTTCTGATGAATTTTAAATTGTTAAAAAATATAATGTGATTCAGGATAAAACTGCATGCTCTATCAAGTGCCTAGTTGGAGAGAGCTGGCCTAAAATAAAATGTTATGTAAGGGTACACTGTTTCCTCTATAATTTAAGTAATAAGTGAAAAATTAAAGGCTTTCAACTTGGGAGGTTGGTAATAGACCATTTGGAAAACTGTCAGGACACGGCTCACAAATGAGTAAATAAGTGAATAGATCGGTAGATGGATAAATGAATACATACACTGTGGTAAATGACTAGCTAAGGGAAAGAGTGAGTCTTCTCAATCACGCAGACACACCTGTGCTCAATGCTCAGGCCACAGGGAAATCGGACTTTCATAACCATTAAAGGCGTGGTCTCAGAGGACAGAGGCAGGGATCGTTGTAACGGGGAACTAATAAAGCCCAAAGGCAGAAGTATTTTGGGTGACGGACTTTCTGGCCTTAGGGATGGTTTGGAAAACAGTGGCCGTTCTTTCTGGAGACACTTGAGCAAGATTTCATGGGAGTCACATGTGAAGCGGCTTCAAATATGTTAAGATGCTGGGTGTGTGGGACTGCAGCACCCCAGTGTGGCCTTTCTGTTTCCTTCCTGGAGATCGTGGCTCAGGCAATGAGGCTGTGAGCCTAGCTCACATGTCTGCATGTGGTACCGAGACCCTTTGGACCCATTAGACCTGGGGAGAGAAATGGGCCAGACTGCAGACAGATGCCCTGCCTGGTGAGTGGAACTAGTGAATTGCATGGGGAGGAAAGCCCTTCCAAGGGAATCTCCCTGGAATTCAGTTAGAGGTTGGCATTTTGGCTACAAGGGCAGCTTCATTGGGGGGTCTTTTCTCTCAGCTGCCTGCCGTGTGCCCACGTCACTTACCATCTGTCAGAGTTTGGAAGCACATCTTGCCGCTGAACTTGCCGTAGCCGGCCACAGTGCGGGCGCGCACCTGTACCACATACACCATGCCTGGCCGCAGACCATCGATCCGCGCTGTGTTGGTCTGGCTCCTGGCCATGGAGGAGTTGAATTCATTGTGTTCCTGAATGAGATCAAGGAGAACAGTCTGCAGCCCACTCCTGAATGCTGTCCCCTAGCCCTCTCCATGGGCTCTTGGTCCCACAGATGTATTAGATGTTGTTTCCAGACACAGACCCTCCCTCTGAACAGGGTACATACAGTCTGGCCTGGACCAAAGGAATGCAGAATCAGGGCTGGACCGTGCAGTGGCTGTGCTCGGAAAAGAGGGGTCTGAGCAAATGGCTGAGCTCCCAGGGCTTGGCTAGGGGGCTTACCATCATTTCCTATACCTTCCCCCTCCAGGGCTCAGAGGTAGAATAACAAAGTGCATGCAACTTTGCAAAATCTTGGCCAGTCTCTGGCCTCAGCAGAAGCAAACTGGGCAACATTTACACCCTGCTGCCTCTCTCTGTCTTGCTTCTGTTGAACCCTCATCTTTTCTCTCCTCACAACAGCTGTTCCGGATCACTCCTTCAGTTCCTTCAAGTCCTTAGGCAAAGGATTTCGTATTCACTCCGCTGTGGAGCTTCAGGCCATTCTGGGCTACCTCTCATTCCTGCTCTGCCTTCACTTAGGCTGGTGTCTGTCTGGATCCCCATCCTCCAGCTCCCTCTCCACCAACATCTGGGGAGGGAATGTCCCTTCTCCCTGGAGGGCAGGCCCTCTCCTCTCTCACCCACTCAGGGGGTCAGCCCCACCCTCCTGTCTGTCACTGTCCCCAGCACTGTCTTGCACTGCCATCCACAGTCCCTGTTATCTGCACATGTGTGTCCTCTGATGTGCATAGTTTTTGCTTGTTTTTTTTTTGTCCTTCTGCCTCCTCAGCCCACTGTGCCCTCAAAAGGTGCTTCCTCTCTTTGCTGATATTATGTAACATTTGGTTTATGTCTGGATTTTTGCAGCCTTTCATCTTTTCTGCCATTCCTTTCACCACCAATCCAAACTTATTTTCTGAAAAGATCTCTGACCTTCCTTAAAATTATTATCTGATTAAAAAAAAACCTCCTAAATCTAGGTTTACAGGCCCTACACAATGAAGTCAGTTTCAATCTCAAACCCCCTAAATCACCATCCTTTTGTCCCTCCAGGGACTACACCTCTGGCCACTGGGCCTTTGCTTAGGCTCCTTTGCAGTGTGAAATGCCTCTCTCCAGGGTTCATCTGTGCCCTCCAGTTCCCTTAAGCCCACACTCTGCCAACCAAGATCCCTTCTCTGGGAAGGCTTCCTGCGCCACTCTGCCCACGGGCTCTCTCCAACACTGTCCATCATCACCCCTCATCCTCAGCGCCTTTGTGAGCACCAGCATGGTCTCCCAACACTTCCATGTGAGCGAAATAGATATTGGAGAAAATGAAGAGTTTGAAAGTCCCCCAAGTACCATTGCAGATCTGGGGTACGGGATCAGAGAGTTCAAGAGGCATGGGGACAAATGAGAGGAAAGCTGATGGCAAGAGTTCTGTAAGCCATATCCCCAAACAACAGAAGAAACTTGGGGAGTGGAACCAGGACCAAAGAATACTGTGCAAGGATGATAAATTCCCATTGTTTTTAAATATGTAAAAGCCTATTTTGCAAAGGACCTGATGACCTACTTTGATGTGCATCCATTCAATCATTTGTCCAGGCAGTCACATTTATGACACACTTCCATGTGCTGGGTGCTATGCATGGGTACCTAGGCATGGTCCCTCTCCTGGGGGATGCAAAATCTCAGGCAGTGGGCCAGAAAATAAACGTGACGGCAGCAGTGTTGACTGAGTGACTCAGCAAAGGGCATCTTAGGGAGCTGTGGGGGAACAGCAGAGGGTCACAGAGCCTGGACTGATAAGGAGACTGGGAAGGTGACAGGAGCTTAGTCATGAAAGATGAAAGAAATTAGCCACATGTAGAGAGTGAGAACCAAGTAGAACATCCACGAGGACAGAATAAAACACAGAAAAGCAAGGCCTAAAGGAAAGCAGGAGCCTGTAAGTGATTAGGCATATCTGGAGTGTGGGAGACGTAGGAGGTAGCGATTAATGATTTAGAAGCAGATGTAAGGGACCATGGGTTAGAGGCCAGCTTAAACAGTACACTTGAAAGTTACAAAGAGGGCCATGCTCACCCTGATGGAGGGATATAGCCACTGGCCTCTGGAAGAGACTTCCTGGGGAGCGACAGTCACCATCTGATCTATTTAAGAAGGTGGATTCCCCTGCACCACCACTAACTGGCAATCCACCAGAAAGACGGCTATCCACTCTAGAAGGGATGCCATTTAGACCTTTGGTCATTATTATCTGGACACACTGGAGATCTGACATCTAAAACCAAAAATCACCTCATCACCTTGCAAATTAGGACAAAATACCATTGCTAAAAAATGCAGGGGGCTGCCTGAATTCTCTGGTTCCTGGAATCTGTGGAATTATGCACTGCTTGAAATAAGTGAAGCACTGGCTGGGCAGCTCTTTCACTGACAAATTGGCATTTGGATTGTAAGGACAAAACATTAACCCATAAGTGCTTTATAGTCCATACATTCAGGAAATTCAGTGATTACACAAGTATCACCCCTTGTTCCCTTCAAAATCATGAATCAACTTCAGGCAAATGAGTGAGTGTAGAGCAAAATTGCTTTCTTTTCCTTTTTTTCGGTTCTGGTCTCTTATGGCTGATTTTATAAGAATGCGGGAGATAGAGGCTGCAGCTATTGAGGGCAGAGACCACGTCTTCCATGCCCAACATGTAGCACAGGACTTGCACCAAACTGCCTGGGCGTTCAATGCTCCAGTGCTAAATGAATGAATAAACAGCACACTTCATAACAGCTATTGGAACCAATCGATTGAACACAAGATATTGCCCAGGTCTGAAAGAGTTTCTATGAGAAAATGGTCCTCAAATTTGAAGGGTAGAAATTCCCAAGGCCTCACCCTGCCCGTTCTGGTCTAGACAGTTATTATGAAGAGCGAGTAAACGTCTAAACACTTAATCATCAAGACAGCTGAGAGCAGGTGTGGATGCTCCTCCCATGCTCTGCCTACAAGCGCCGACACCAGGAGTGAAAAGTGCTACAAGACAGTAAACAAGAGAACATGATGAATTGAAATGTATTAAGATGGGGAAGGAGATGAACCTGGAGAGGCCCTGGGAGTGTCGTCAGCTCGATGGCATCCGAGCTCTCTATTAATAAGCTCTTGGAGGAGGCGAAAGCCTCATCGATTGTGTTCAGAGCTGAAACTGAAAGGTGTCCCAAGTAGAAGCAAGAGGGCAGCGTGAGGCAGGAGAGCCAGAGGGGGTTGGCAGGGGTCAGAAAACTATGGCCTATGGGCAGCTACCTGTTTTTGGAAATAAAGTTTTGCTAGAACCCAACCACGCCCTCCTATTGACATATTGCCTATGGCTGCTTCCCATCTACAAAGGCAGAGTTGAGCAGTTAGGACAGACTAAGAACCAGAGGGAAAACTCCACTGACTCCTGGTTTAGAAGAAGTGGCACAAGATAGAAGAATGGTGCATTTTGTTTCCTTGAACCAAATCCTGGACATCTACTGGGCTGATTCCATCTGTGTTTACACCTTTTAAAGACCAGTATTCCATGGCCTTATGGGGCAGATGGGAGGCTCATTCTAGTTAAAAGCATTTGGATTTAAAAGAAGAAACAATCTTGAAATCCTCAGCATCAGCATGATGGCATCCAGTCCCATACTGAGCTCAGAAGGCTCCACCATTGAAATATAAAAATGTCCATAGTTCTGGTTCTGTGACTCCCGAGCTGTGACCTGTGTGGTCATGGGTAAGTCATTTAACCTTTCTGTGACTCAGTCCATCATCTATAAATTGATTATACCTAGCTTTCAAGTATCTTTCTTTTAAGGAGCAGAGAGCTAACATATCTGTGAATATCTGATGTGTAATAGGTACTCAATAGGTGATGAATTATCATCATTGTGGTTATTATTCTAAGATCTTCTCATGGGGTAATGTCTTTTTCTTTGGTTGTAAGAGAAGTGGATGAGGAAATGTAACAGATTGTATAACTAAGCCCTTTGTAAGTGAAGGTGAGTTCTGCAGTAACATACTTAATGGTAACCACTGCTTTGGCAAAGAATCTTCTGGGTTCCCAAGGAAAGTTTCCTATCCTCTGGAGTGGGGACAATAATATGCTTCACTGAGGTGTGGAAGCCGCCTCAGGCACTGAGCTGCTGTGCATGTGTGTCTGTTAATAATTAGCATAACTTATGGAGAGTTAAGGACGTGGCCAGAGATGGAGAATGAGCTTCCTTCATAGCATCAGAAGTTGAGGTTAATCACAGGTTTTCAAGGGAGGAGGTTCACATATAAAGGGCAGGGCAGTGGAGAAGCTTGGGGGTAGGCTGGGGAGGGAGGAGCTAAAGGACACAGGCACGAGCCTATTACTAAGCACGCCCCTGTCCCGGGGTGACCGTCCTTGGCACAGTAGACGAGTGAGGGCAGGTGGTCTCCCACGCAGCTGCGCAGCCACCCATTCCCAGCCCTGCCATTTGCTATATGGCAGAGATCCCTAGGCTCCCTTCCTACTGTGTGACCCAGCAAGTTTTGCTTCTTTCTGTTAACTCTGTGCATCAGTTTCTTTCCCCATAGCAATGGTATTGATAGTCGCTATACTGGATTATGAGGGGAAAAACAATGTTTATAAAGGCCCTGGCACCCAATAGGAGTATACCAAGGAGAAATTCTTATTTTTCTCAGATGAGCTACAAGACTCAAGCTCAAGTGGGTGGGAAGGGGTGCTTTGGGGACCTTACTGGTGATTCTGACAGCACATCATATACTGGCCACACACAATAATTTATTGAACTGTTATGTCAACTTACATGATGGAATGTGGTCATTTGGTCCAAACACACTGGTTCAAAACATTTGGGAAAGTGAACATTCATTAAATTTGTTAACTGATAAAAAAATATCCGTCAAAGAAGGGCACAAAATTGAAACCTAATTCTATATAATCATTGCTTCTGAATTCAGATTATTTAAATTACCCCCAACCCCCTGAATTATCTGAATCAACTGTCTACAAAGCCCCAAATGCTCTAAAGAGAGCAGAGTTCTGCCTAACCCTCACCTTGCCTGCAAGCTCAGCTCTAATGGCTGAAGATATGCCTCCTCAGACAAGACTGGTGATCCATCCAGACCTCCACCTTCAGGGAGGCACACTGCTACCACTGCACAAGTGTGAGTACTCTGACCAAGAGTGGTGAAGCTATTCGACCACTGCTGTGTGGCTGGTTAGTGATGGGGGGCACTGGAAAGTGGGCTTCTGCCTCCCGATGCAGTGGTGTTCCGTTGTCCAACACCACCTCCATGTTGGAGGGCTACAGGTTTCCACCTGTGATCCTGTTCTTATTTCCCTTGACCCACTGGATGATTGTACCCATGCTCAGAGCTCTCATACCATCTGCATACTGACGACTTCCAAATGGACATCTCGAGCTCCTCTCCTGAACTCCAGAGATGTACATCTAGCTGCCAGTCCCACACCCCCATTGTCCTACTGCGGAGGTCTATTTTAGACTTCAAGATGAACTTCGGTCTCTTCCCTCATCCCAAACCCAAGCCACCCACTGTGTTCCTCTTCTCAGTTAATGGTGGCTACCTCCTTCTAGAGGGCCAGGCCAAAACCCTCCCACATCTGAAACCCAACCAGGTGGAAATCCTGTGGGCTCTGCCTTTAGTTTATACATCTGGAAACCTACTGTGCTTCACAATCCCATTGATTCCACTCCATCCAAGACACCATTATCTTTGTCTTATGTGATTATAATCTAGTAGGCCTATTTTCATGGAATGGCCTGAGCAAACCTTTGGAAATGTCAGATTTTGTCTCTTCTCTGCCCTGCTATGGAGCCTTACCTCACTCAGTGGAAAAGCTCAAGTTTGGAAGGTCCAACATGCTCCTCTGCCCTGGTTACCTCTCTCATGGTCCACTACTTTCCCAGTGCTTGTATCACTCCAGCCATGCTTGTCCCTTTACTGCTCCTTGAATTACCAGTCATAACCCTACCTCAGAGCCTTTGCACAGGCTGTTGCCTCTCTCTCCTCCAGGCATCTCCTCCACACGCCTTCACAACAACCTCTCCTCCTTCCAGTCTTTACTTAGAACTCACCCTCTCCAAGAGGCCTGCCTACCTTTACCGTTCTATGTAATCGTGCAACCTGCTTCTCCCCTGAACCCGACCCTCCTGATCCTATTTACCATGCTCCAGTTTTCTTCCCTTACACTACTAATTTTCTAACATATTATATGATTTCCTTATTTATTATGTTCATTGTTCATTTTCTATCTCCTTCTGATAGAAAATAAGTCCCTTAAGGGCAGACAGATATCTTTGTTCTGATCACTAATATATACTGGAATAGTACTTGCCAAATAGCAGGTACTCAATAAATACTTGCTGACCAAACAAAAGAAGGAATCTGGTGTTTTTACAGTCATGTGTTGGGTTAGTATAGAAGGCACTGCATTTTCCTGGGATTCTGCAAATGCTACAGTTTCCCATGGCAAGAGGGAGGCTCTACTTCCCCCACAGACATGTAAGTACCAACTCCACAGGGCATCGTTTCCCTCTCCTTGGCAGGACATGCTGCTGTAGCCCCCAGGGGCAGCTGCTAAGGAGCAGCCAGGTAGGTAATACACAGATTTCTATTTCTACTTATTTCTGTCTTTCCTTTAAAACTTCTATTTACATTTTAATCTCTGTAAATATATTAGTACACTACACTTGCATATGATTTATAAATAAAATTATAATGGAGGTACATAATCAAAAACTGAAAAACACTGGTCTAAAAAACCACAGAATTTCCAGGAAATTCAGGGGACTCCTGCTGTTTTGTAGCCTCTGCATCAGTACAGCAAACACATAACTGGGAGAGTGGGATGGGCCCTGCCCATACCAGCCCAGCAAGCTGATTAGATAGCATGGGAGTACGTAGAAAATCCTCTCCCAAGTTGGTACATCAAGTGCCTGGGCTTTGGAGGCTTTACCAAGGAAGACAGGTGGAACTCTCCCAGGGAGCCGATGGTCTCTGCTACCAGATTCCCTCCTCCCTCAGGACTTCCTCCAGCCTATGTGCTTTGCCCTCAGAGGTTCACCACCTATTGACCAGTGGCTGGCCCTGGGTCTTGCAAACTGCAGGCAGAGCTGACTTACCTTCTCATAGTAACGGATCTCATAGTCCAGGATGATGCCGTTGGGCTGTTCTGGCTGTGGCCATGACAAGGTGATGCTCCTCATAGTGGCACTGACCTGGTGCATGATAGGAACCGTGGAAGGGGCTGTGGAGAGACACAGAGAGGGTAGATGAACAGACATGAGAAGTGCCATCTTCCAGAGAAAAGCAAGGAGAGAAATATCATTGGGATTAAATTCTGCCCTTTATTTCTCATCAGCTGAGCTAGATCCGCAGCATTTATTCTGTGGGTTTTACAGAATAAATGGAATTTGGATAACAAAGGATTGAAATGGTGGTTATTTAGGACAGGAGAACATGTTTGAGGGCTGGGGCTGGAATGGACTGTTTTCTGGTCCAGAAGGAACAAAGGATGGTTGGACGGATCACAGGAAAACAATATGGCCCAGGGAAGGTGGAGCCAACTAGGGAGGGCAAGGCAACCGGGACCAGTCTAGGCTTCATCCAGTGGGACAGGAGGAGCAACGGAATGTTTTAGAGCAAAAGATGTTGAAGGAGTCTCAGTTTTCCAGTAACAGGCTGAGCTATTGAAGAGAAGATAACCTGGAGGCAAGGGATGGCAGTGGGCTAGGATAACTGGTCAGTGCAGAGTTACTGTGCAATGGTAAGGAGCATTCTAGCAAATTTCCCTTTCTGAGACTGCATGTAAGATCTTGCTGCATTTTGAAAGAAAAAAAGGAGGCATCTCTCAAAAAGGTATGAATGCAGACCAATGACAGAATTCTTTCAAACTTCTATGAGAGTTTTCAATGAAGAGCTCACAAATATAAATGAAGAAATGATACACAAACTAAACATTTGGAAACAGGATTATAATGACAAAAATTTGTTAGGTGATTCCAAAAATCTCTGCTTGGAAATAATACTATTTACTTTCCAATTCCACAAAGTTTAAGTAAAATGCAAACAGCCTGGAAGTAATAAATGAGGCTGTCTTCCTAGGAGAAGAGGCAGGTAATGGATGAGGTTTCCATCAGCACTCTGCTCAGGGGCTGTCCCATTCAGTCCTGGCACTTTAGCAGTTATGAAGGTCGTTTCCTAATGCAAAGTCCACTTTACAAGGGTTTCTCTGAGGAGAAAACAGATTCCCCTCCAAGACCTGCAATTACAGAGCATGGCTGCCGGGTCACAGGTGGGCCCCTGCACTCTCCACAGCTCATAGGACTCTCAATGACCACCTACTGCATGCCAGCCCCTGGGCCAGGGAGGGGAGGCTGGGACTTGTTCTGAGGATGTTTACAGTCTGAGGAGCCGTAAGGAGAGATAGTGTGAGAAGTGGTGATGAGACCTTAGAATCAGAGTGTCCACCTGAGACCTGGCGCAGTTTCTGTGGGAGGCCTTGTGGTGGCCATTAGCATGCCCCTCCCAGAGCCCCTACGGCCGGGAGCATAGCAGACTGATGGCCCCAGCTGCTGCCCTCTGACTCCATCACCCCATTCACGTGGAGCCTGCTCTCCACAGGCCACCCCCAGCCAGCGACTGAGAGAGGCAGGGATGCTGTGCAGACCCATCCCTGACTCTCCTGGTGGGCAGCGTTCACTCAAAGGTTCCCCAGTGCTTCTTTGTAACAGCATGAAGGTCTGAGACTCCTTCCACCCAGCCTTCCTTTCTTCCCTCTTTCCTTCAGAAGACTCAGACTTCATTGCAGTATGATGACTCTCCCAGCCTCCTCTGGTCTCCACCTTCCTTCCCTGATATATCTTGGGCACATCTAATCCATCTTGGTGTCGGCATCATGAAGGACCTGAATTAATGCAGTCCTGAATCCTCCTAAATCCCCCTATTAAAGATCCTCTACCCAGCCCTCTGTGTCCCCAGGGATGGGAGACTCCCTGCCCCTAGGAGCCCCTGCTGCATACCTGGGTGACTCTCACTGATCTGCACATCTTCCTTATCCTTATTGGACATTTGTCTTGTTCCCTCTGGTCTCAGTTCTACCAAATGAAGTGGTATGCTCCCTTTTCCATAGAATGGCTTTTCAAATAGCTAAAGAAACAAGCTTGGCCTCCCCAGAGTTTTTCCTGCTGAAAAGAATGGCCAGATACTATGAACATTTCTCCCATGCTCCGCTGTCACCTGAGGTGGCTCTTTTCCAAATGGGGCTCCTGTTATCTAAATCTCTCTTCAGGCCTGAGGCCCAGAGAACTCAGTCCTATCACTGTTGTTCATGCAGCAAAAATTGAAGTAAAATTAAGGCCTACCAGGATCTGTGCATATGTATATGTCTATTAATATGACCATTAACCTTTGCATCAAAAACATGTACCTGTTATTCAATTCTGAAATCACAGCCAAATATAAAAAATCCTTTGGGTTTTCTCATAGATGTGCCTTGTCTTTTGTCTGTAGAGTTAGTTGGCTTGGGCTTTGACTACAGGGATTTACATCTATCTCTTTACCTTTATGGTGTCAAATTTGGTTTATTAATCTACTAAATTGGGATAATTTTTTATCCTAATTCAACCATCAAATGCATCCTCTCTTCCTCTCAACTTAGTATCATGGCCCAGGTTAATTAACTCACTAATTAAGCAAATATTTATTGAGCATCTGCCAGGTTCCCGTCACTATTCTAGGTCCTAGAGATTCCCATACCCTGCCCTCGTAGAGCCTATATTCTAGTGGAGGGATTCAGAGACTAGATGTAATCAATCAATCAACCACAAAGTATGTTAAAAGTAGTAAGTACAATAGGGAAAGACGGAGCAGAGAAGGCAGAAGAATGCCCCAGTGTAGGAGGCTGGGCGGGAGAAGGCTGCACCTCTACATCATGCAGCCAGCAAAGCCCCAGGTGAGAAGTAGATGCAGGAGTATAGGGCTGAAGGAGGGGAGGGAGTCATGGAGATGCCTGGGAGAAGAGCATATGAAAGGGGAAGGCTGGGAAAGGTTTTCACCTGACAGCAGTCTGGAGTTTCAGGGAAACAGCAAACAGGGGGACTGGAGCAGAGATGTGCCCAGGTGATAGGGCCCTGAGGGACACCGAAAGACTTTGTCTTCTACTCTGAGTGAGATGGGGAGCTATTAGGGGGTCATGAGCCAGGGAGTGATGTAATCTGACTTCCATGTGAACAGTATCACCTTATGCAGTGTTGCAAACAGAATGAAGGGGCCAATGTTAAAGCTGAAAGGTCTATCACAGCACTTTTGCAATGATCCAGCTGCAAGACTGTGGTTACTTGGACCTGGCTCATAACAGTGGTGGCGGTAAGAGTGGGAGTGGTCAGTTCTGAATAGATGTAGAATATCTCAGTGTATGTGCAATGTGGAAGAAAGAGGAGAGTCTAAATGACTGCACAGTTTTAGGCCCGAGCAACTGGAAGGGTAGGACTGCCATCCACTGGGATCAGGCCAGACATCAGTAGAAGCAGTTTGGGAGGAAAGATCAGGAGCTTCTGTTAGGTTTGCAGTGTCCACGATGTCCTAGAGTAGACAATGAGTCAGCAAGCACATGTGTAACAGGTCCCAGGTGGAGATACACAGTTACAGTCATCAGTATTTCAAAGGTAGCGAACACTGCAAAACTGACAGAGATCACCAAGCGAATGAGGAGAACAGATCATATATTCGAAGATTCAGGGGATGGGGAAAAAAGAGCAAAGTGGCCTGAGAAAGACCAGTGAGGTAGAAGGAAACAGGAGAGTGTGAGCACCTAGAAATCAAGTGGCAATGAGCATTCCCAGGAGGAGAGACTGTGAAATGCTGCTAAGTCACGTCAAGTGACACTAGGAACTGAGTGCAGACGAGCAGCAAGCTGGCTGGTTAAGTGTGGGTGATGTGTGCTCATCTTTTTCAAGACCTTATGTGCATTGTGCAGAGCCGTGGAGAGGATGAAGGTGCTTCAGGAGAGGTGAGACAGTTTCCAGAGTCAGTCCAGAACCCTGGGGGATCTCAAAGGGCCCATAAGACAAGCAGTGAATGACTCCTGGAAAGCTTCTCTCCTCCTCCCCCCACCACACTAGACATGCAGCTGGGGCTGCCCTTTCAGATCTCTGTGGAAACAATTCATATGCTGTTAGTAATGTCAGCATCACGCTGGTTTCAGGATCCTTCTGCCTCAAGAGCTGAAGCATCATGTATTAAAAATTAGAACGATTGGTCCTAACAACCTGAGGATTTTGATGGACTTCATTCTCTTCTTCTTCTCTGATCCCTGAAAAACAGTTATTCAAGCCTCAATACATCTGCCAAACATTGTGCCAGGCCCCTGATCTAATTACTGGGGAAGAAGGGCAAGTAAAAATGTCAGCCTGCTCCAAAGATCCTTGGGGTCTAGGTGGGGTCAGATGGTAAAGAGGCAGTCACAGGGCAGGGTGGCCCAGAGGCCATCAGTAGCCACTGAGAGGAACCCCCTAGAGGCGGAAGCAAGGGCCTCCCAGAAGCCAGTCACCAGCACCACGGGCCAGGAGAAGCTGCCAGAGGGTAACAGTCACCACCACCCAAACTTCTCAGAGTTATGGCGGCAACACAGCAGTCACAGGCCCCGTTGCTGTCTGTTTATCCTCACACAAGTCAGTCTAAATGTCTTATATTTTAATTGACAAAGAATTTAGCATGAGAGGAAGTAAAGTATTATTCTTCCTCCCTGAAAAGCAGGGGCAGCTTCCATCTGGTGCTCTGCTATCTGTGATTACCTACAGTGATAAGTTTGGGTTTTTTTCCCCTCTTGAAGTGCAAATGCCACCTCTACATCTGGTATTTTACATGCTACAGAACCTTCAGACAAAACAATAAAAATGAGCTTAGGTTTCCACTCAAACACCTACTTCTTCAAAACCTAAGGCAGTGAAAGAGGGTTGGGGAGATTAATTGAGCATGGGTCTTGTGACCCCCAAAATGCTGGTTTCAATGCTAAGTCCTGGCCAGTTGCCTTTTCTCCATAAACTTGCATCTTCAAATGAAGAAGTAGTTTTGCAGAATGCTTGGAAGGGTCTCTCCCCACAAGCACACAGAATGCTTTTGACTAAATTATACATTCTACAGAGAGAAGGAAGTGAAAATAAAGAATTCGCAAAATTATTAAAATTTAGCAAAGAAGCAAATATTCTTACTTTAGAAAAAGTAAGAATAAAAACTAGGCTAGGGGCT